ATCGTCAAATAAACGGCATTATTGGTTTCCACGCATTCACGTATCTCCTAACGAAGAACCTTATCTGTTTGTAAAACAAGATTTCTTAAGTTCAAAAACTAAATATACGTTTTTGGGATGGGTAGTACGCTCCGCCTCCGTCTACGAGAGAGGTCGGGAGGGTGCCGTTTGACTCGTGAGATCCTAGCATTATCTTACCAGTTGTCGTTATGGAGCCTTGGACGGTGAAGCACCGCGTTTTCGCCTATGATTGTTTCGTCCGAAATAATGAGTCAGTCATCGTCGTACAGCGTGAGTTTCGTCGCCACTTCAACATTCATCGGAATAGAGCTGTTCCCTCTCGAACACCATCCTTCGTTGGGTTGAATCACTTCGCAGGCGTGGTGAACTGATCAACAGAAGACCAAGAGGAGCGCCGCGCCGCGAACTCCTGAAAATGTTGAACGCGTTCGACAGAGTCTACGCGAACTTCCAAGAACGCCTCCAGCACTGCATCAACGAGTTCTTCGGCCACCACATGCCTGATGTAATTTTCCACACTTGACTGTCTCAAATGCTATTTCCTTGTGAACATGATTCCATCAATAAATTTGTTTTCGAGTAAAAATTAACTATTTTATGATTTTTTTAAAACCGTCCATCCTCTCTGCCGCACCCTGTATAATGTGCCATCTCGTACGAACGAAATGCACTGAAGTGCTTATATACTGGATCATGATAATGATAGCGGGAGTATGGACCAAACACTTCGCAATTGAAATTATATTAAATTTCCACTTTTCGTTTTGTCATTTTTTTAGACACGATTCTTTTATAGTATAAAAATTAAAAACAAACAAAAATTATTTTTCTGGCTTACGCGTGGAAAATAAAAAATCAATAGAACATAGAGAATAGCGTTAATACCAACCAGATCAACAAAACTCCACATGTTCACTTCTCAGCGAAATTTTGTTGCGGACTCCGAACTGGTACGGAATTTAGACACTAGACTAGACCATAAAAGACTATACTATACCTGAGGAAGCGCACACCGTTGCTGTTGGTGGGAGAGTAGTCGCTAGTCGCATGCGCACTGAGCACACAGAATGCTCGAGTCGTCTGGTGGGGTAATTACCCCCTTAACGTCCCCCCCGTGGGAGCGCCAGTGCCCCACATAGCAGTGTTTCATAACAACCCGATCATTTAATGATATCACTCCCGCATACCGATGGATTTCAGAAGTAGCGCGAAAGCATTCATTGTGGGATACCACCGATATGATACGATCCAATACGATCGTTATATGCTGAATGTGTATGTGCACAATTATTTTAACTTTCACCGCTTACAATCACACAATCCGACCTGACTGCGCATACCATTCATACCTATAGCTTCTACAATTTACTGTGGTCGCCTCAGTATGCCCGCATTCACGTTTTCTTTATTCTAATATGAAATTTATTTTTCTAGAAAAGTCTCATTTGTCTATTAATGAAAATGGAACGCAGACCTCCCTGATAGGCATAGAGCGTGATGGTCAAAATTACAATTAAAAGGATTTCCGTATAAAATTTTCTTTGGCCTAAATTTTAGGTTAAAGACAAGATATCGAGATGGGGGTCTTCACGCGATTGTTTAGACATCATTTAGCTACTTTTTCATTAAAAAAACCCTACCAATGCATTTAATTTTTTGAGAAAATTAACCATTTTTGTCCTAATGTCGGAAAAGGCCCACATGTGAAACTGACAAAGCTTCAAATATTATAACATTTGTAGCCCAAGAATAGCTCTTTTCAACTAGCACAAGTTTGTTAAGTTCGTTTTTTACACAAACCTTCGAACACCCTACTTTACCTCGAATTCTTAGTTGACCACCCTGTACAATTTAATGTGACATCTTCGTCCAGTTCAAGCCTGTAGAATAAAATAACAGCGTCGGATCGTCGATAGATCATACAAACAAGAATCTGGCACCGCTACAAAAACTATCGGAATTCGACAAAGCTGCCAATCACAAAAAACACTCGTTCTCGGTATTATTTAGATTGTTGCGGCATGGTATGCCAAGTATAATACGTGGGATACGGTTCGTATTGAACAGACAAGCTTTTTTCTGTCTCAGCTTAACAAAATCTATACTGATCGAATACTCGCGGTTGTCCTTTCCATTTGGGATACATCTAGTGACAAACAACTTTTAATATATGCAATGGGTGAAAAAAACTCCAACTGGTCTGCGGCGGTGTCGTCACTGACACACCGTTACAGAAGAAAGATTTGCAACGTTTATATAGTTGATTTTTGATATATCAGCCGACTCCGTTCGACGAGTTCTACAAGCGGTTAAAATAAATGTCTCAACTTTGAAAACACCCTGTTTATTTTAGCAATATTTGGACATTAGGAGTACGTACCACTTAAGCGATTTGCGATGCTTTTGAAAATTATGATTTGATTGTTTTTATGTAACATACGTGACTTTCTATTTCTTCTTCGATATATATATACAACTTGAGACGTGGTCATTGTCGTCTAGACCAGTTAGGTGAAAAATTAAAGCTTCCGCCTTTTGTTGGGTACTTCGACAAAATTTAAACAAAGAGGACTCTTTATACTTTTTTTAATTCTCTCTAGCTATCAATGGACTTTGCCATCATCATCAGGAGCTGCAATTACAATGATAACAGTAGCAACAAAAGTGTAAAATGAATTTAAATTGACTCAACTTACAGTAGCATGTGAGGATGTTGCTAATTGTTGTTTACGTATAGGATGAGGGAAACGTCCGGTAACATGATGAGAGCTGGATACATGGTACAATGTTCAAGATTATATAAAATATGACAAGACAAGTTAAAAACAGATTAAAAATTATTTAAAAAACATTAGAGCATTACGTCGTGAAGCCACTTGATGATTGCACAAAATGGTGGTCATGGAATAATGAGTGAGATGAACCTTTGACAGAAGGCCGAAGGTTGTCAATGTCTGTGTTGAAAGATGGAACGAATTGTGGGCGTGTGCCAAAACGTTGCCAAATCACTTCAGATGATGTGATTTTCAGAATGTTATGTAAGAAATTGTTAAACCGACCAGAGGCAGTTGAATAAACTATATTTTAATTAATGGGAATTTTAAATTAATAATTCGTTCCATCTTTCAACACAGACATTGACAACCTTCGGCCTTCTGTCAAAGGTTCATCTCACTCATTATTCCATGACCACCATTTTGTGCAATCATCAAGTGGCTTCACGACGTAATGCTCTAATGTTTTCTAAATAATTTTTAATCTGTCTTTAACTTGTCTTGTCATATTTTATATAATTTTAACCATTGTACCATGTATCCAGCTCTCACCATGTTACTGGACGTTTCCCTCATCCTATACGAAAACAACAATTAGCAACATCCTCACATACTACTGTAAGTTGATTCAATTTAAATTCATTTTACACTTTTGTTGCTACTGTTATCATTGTAATTGCAGCTCCTGATGATGATGGCAAAGTCCATTGAAAGCTAGAGAGAATTAAAAAAAGTATAAAGAGTCTTCTTTGCTTAAATTTTGTCGAAGTACCCAACAAAAGGCGGAAGCTTTAATTTTTCACCTAACTGGTCTAGACGACAATGACCACGTCTCAAGTTATATATATATATATATATGAGCAGTAGTCATTGCCATTGCCAACGACCAGATCGGCAAAAAATACAATTAATTGTTAATTTGGAAATTGGCATACTTTTTAGGCTTTAGTTAACTCTTTCGACGGTAATCTCTAGCTTTCGGCAATTCTCTATGGAGCGTTCATCAGGAGCTGAAAACACAATTATGATGCTAGCAACCAAGACGGGAAAGCTTTATTTTTTTTGACAATTTAAATCTTTCCCGTCTTGGTTGCTAGCATCATAATTGTGTTTTCAGCTCCTGATGAAGGCTCCATAGAGAATTGCCGAAAGCTAGAGATTACCGTTAAAAGGCTAAACAGTTTGCCTATAAAAATACAATCTGAATAATTGTTAGATGTCCTGAACAGGAAAATGCAGAATCATTTTTCGTGCGGGTATGATGAATTCCAATGTTTCTCATTATACAGGTGTATTATCATGATCCTGTTACTTATCTGGTGAATTTGTCTTTCATAACTGAAACTTTTCCTGAACCCTTGAGGACAGGTAAACTAGTACCCATTTACAAAAAAAAGGTGTCATCCAATCGGTAAACAATAGTAATGCAATCTGGATATTTGAATACTCATTTTTAGATAGATTCTTTAGTAAAAATAAGCATTTCTTTATGAGTCCTTGCTGATGATGATTTCGACAAATGACTGCAACGATTAATGATACCATTCATGTAAAGAATATCGGTTTCAGCGATGAATGCACATTTTATCCAAATGGATTCGTTAATAAGCATAACAACAGGTATTGGAGCAATGAAAATCCTCATGCTTTTGTAGAAGGGCATACCCAGAGTACCCCCCAAAAAATAATGTATAGACAGGCATTTCAGGAAACAAATTGATTGGGCTCTAGTTTATTAATGGAAATTAGAATAGAGATATGTCGGAAAATACCATCAATCCGCTTATCACCGAAACCATTGAAAACCAAATCGAAGAAAATGGAAACCCTATACTTGATGAACACCTTGTACGTCCTGACTGTAGAAATAAAACCTTGAAAAGAAAATTTAGCAAATAATGTTCTTTTAATGATAGATACCTAAGAAATATACGATACAAATAAAGCAGTGTTTTGCTTGAAATCTATACCTATAACTTTTAAATTCTTGTATATTTGGTGTCAGTGAAGACGTAAGAAATGAAGAGTCAATCTACTTGATCCATTTTTCAAATACTAGAAAAACCTGAAATTGCGTGTAAATTAGTCGTCTCGAGAGGATTTAGAAAGGTTGCGCTTATACGTAATTTAAACTGCAGCTCCTTTTCAAGCAGTTATTTTTTATAATCAGCTGTGATTATAAGCACGTTTTTGTATTCGTTACAGGTATACGAAACCGCAAACGTTCGCAGACTGCATAGGAAATGAGCTGCCCTTAGGGTGGGAAGAGGCCTTCGATGGCCAAATAGGACCTTATTATATTAATCATACGAGTCGTAAGTAGCCTTTTTCACTTGTTATTTTTTTCAGTGGGTATTTTTTGGAGTTTCGGATGTTTTGTTCTAGAATCAACGCAATTAGAAGATCCTAGGCAAGAATGGAGGGCGATACAAGAAGCTATGCTACGAGAATACCTGATGACTGCTCAAGATGTTTTAGAGGTGAGTACCACTTTTGGGATTAAATTATGCATATTTTGATTTCATCATGCTTATAAATAGACATAATTCCGATTCACCTTTTTGCTAATCATTGGATAGATAAGACGCCTCGTAATAACTCATACAATCATTATGAGACTCGAGTGTCCCCACTTCAAATTCGCGCCAAAATTACGGCGGTAGCGACGCTATTCTACTGGTATTAGAAAAAATTAAAAAATCAGTTTCCAGAGGGAAATGTTGCCTACACTTTCAAAATTCCATAGCGTATCATTGACTTATCGGAAAAAATCGCTTCTAAGCGCATCGTGAAAAAATGTTTGCAAATTTTGGGACAGCATGTATTAAATTGGATCAATTGTTCAGTGAGAAGGAGTTTTTTGCCTGAAAATTTGGAATGTGTTACCAGATATTATTAATGCAGTTAGTTTATCGAAGAAAACAAAAATCATTCAACGGAAACGGCTTTCCAGTTGGTTACTGAAAATTGGAGAAACGTCATAGGGTCTGAAGAAATCATAGCAGTTTTTTTGGATGTGTAACAATTGATAGGAAACATTTGTATAGGTAAATTGAAGGCTGGTATATCAGGAAGTGTTGAGTATTTTAAAGAAGCCCTATTGAACTATTTTTTTTGTAATTTTTTTAAATAATGTCATACTGATGCACAAACCTTGGTATCAATATATATATACACACGTTGTTTTAAAAGCATTCAATTTTAGTTTATTTACATTTAACTTTAACTTGTCAGAATTTAACATATTTGAAGCAGTGTCTATACAGGGTGTTTCAGTTTATTATTGCATAACTTTAAGATTCGATAGAACTTTTAAAATTAATGCATAAAGTCTATATAAACATGGGTCGAAAAATGCGCGGCTTCCGAAATACAGGGTGTTTAAATTTACTTTCTAAAATAGTTTTTTTTAAATATTTCGAACAATATTTGATGTATAACAGTGAAAATTGGTATACAAGGGTTTTTTGGTACGACAAAACGAACCATGGGCATAGTTTTACTGTAGCCGCTAGAGGGCGCTTTCTAGTGTACCTGTAGTGTATTAAAATGACCGAAAAAATTTTCTTAGTGCAATTTTTTGCTTTTTGAATAAAAAAACTGATTCTTCGCACTTTTCAACATAAAAAAGCTCTCAAGTGAATTTTCGTTATAGTTAGCCGTTTTTGAGATATTTCGATTTTTAAGGTTCGATGCATTTTCAATTATTTATGGGAAAATAATATTTTTTTTACATTTTCGATTTGGGCATTACAAGTAATTAAGATGATCGTTTAGATTATGTTTTTAAATACAGCAATAATTCCTAACTCCAAATAAACACAAAACAACAGAATATTAATTTGTTTAATTTTCCAATATTATTTTTAACAAATTAAATTAATTATTTACAACTAAAATGCTATTGGATAGTTAGGACAAACATACAAAATCTAAAGTAGTTGCTCGAAATGTAAACCCAATTGTTCAATACACAATTCTCATCTACGAATGATCGAACGTGGTATAGCATTATTCAAATAAGGCCTTATTTCAACACATGCATTCCTGATTCTGTCTATTAGCATATCTCTTGTGGTTACGGGAGTCTGATACACTTTTTCTTTTAGAAATCCCCACACAAAGAAATCTAATGGATTTAGGTCAGGGGATCGTGGAGGCCAGGCGACTGGTCCTTCTGCTGCGTTTCCATTTACAAAGCCATACATAAACTGAATATCCGCTAACTCTTGATTGGAGAATAAAAATGGCATTTTTATAAAACTTACAAAAAAAACAGGTAAAATAAACTAAATTTCGTGCATTCACAATTGCAAAAAAACGTTTCAGGTTTCAACAGACAACAAAACTAACTGTCAACTAATTGACGTTACCCTTATTCTGCTTTCAATTTCAAAAATATTTGCAGGCACAGCCTAAAAATTATCGAGATACTGACTTTTTAACGTTATTTTATCATAAATAATTAAAAATGCATCGAACCTTAAAAATCGAAATATCTCAAAAACGGCTAACCATAACGAAAATTCACAAGAGAGCTTTTTTATGTTGAAAAGTGCGAAGAATCAGTTTTTTTATTCAAAAAGCAAAAAATTGCACTAAGAATTTTTTTTCGGCCATTTTAATAAACTACAGGTACAGTAGAGAGCGCCCTCTAGCGGCTACAGTAAAACTATGCCCATGGTTCGTTTTGTCGTACCAAAAAACCCTGGTATACCAATTTTCACTGTTATACATCAAATATGGTTCGAAATATTTAAAAAAAACTATTTTAGAAAGTAAATTTAAGCACCCTGTATTTCGGAAACCACGCATTTTTCGACCCATTTTTATATAGACTTTATGCATTAATTTTAAAAGTTCCATCGAATCTTAAAGTTATGCAACAATAAACTGAATCACCCTGTATTTTCATCTGTCATATAGTATATTCATGTGCAAATTTCTAAATTTTACAATATTCTAAAATATAAAAAATATATAAAATAAATAGTTGTGGACCCAGTTGTTTATAATCATTCTATTTCTCTAGCCAGTCGAGCTAAATAAATCTTTCTACTACTACTACTACAGAAGAGATTTTTCAAAAAATCTCCCTATCTTTATACACGGCCACTGTTTCGCACAAATCAGCATCGCCATCGAGAGATATTGAATGGACGAATCCGTCGTTCGCGCGCTCACCCGGCCATTTAAAGGTCTACTATACACGTTATGGTATGTGTCCGCCTGTTATGGTCGGTACTGCTTGCATCGGCGCGCACGATGCGGCAACGTCGCCGGTGAGGTCAGTGTTTAAAGCGCGGCGGTCCAAAGGAACTGCGGCACGAGCCACGACCAACTATGGAATGTCGAGGTTGCAACATCGGAGCAACACCGACTCCTCGTTCTTGCCTCTTGCTACACATACTGCTGTGCGCCCTTGGAGTATAGACCGAGGAACAGGGAGGTTTTAAATGACGAGGTGCATAGGTGCAATAGATGATGTTTTCGTCGATACCGAGTGCAAAAGGTTCGAAACAGCTGTGCACGTTATACAGGGTGACCAAAAATAAAACTTCATACACAGGACCGCATTTTAACGGGGTCTTCTATGTAACACTTTTTCCTTATTGAAAAGATACGGGATGTTGAAGTTTAAAAATTAAAAAAAAAATTAGTGCTGTTGCGTCTTGTAGAACTTCCGATTTCACTGTTTTTTCTCTTTAAACTTTTAGAAGGTAGTCTGATAGATCATTTAGAAACAAAGAAGTGTGGATGAAGCAGGCTTTTCATGAAAAACATTTCCCAAAACATTGTATCTTTAGCTGTTCTTTCCATCATTATTTCCACGGCCATCTATCTGCCGTATGACGTATGTCATATATGAGAGGCGCTTGCCTGCGGTGTTGCCGGATTGGGCTCCGCATTTAGGAAAAAATATGACAAGTTGAAAATTTATGTACATATGTATATTAATTAATGTATCTCAAAAACGAAAAACTGAAACATACAACAGTAGCAAAATAAAAGGCGATTCCTAATAAGTATAAATCTAAAAATAACAGTTGTAAGCTACAAAATGATAAATTATAAATAATTATAAAAAACAAAAACAGTAGTAAAACAAAAACTAATTCCATGTAGTTATAAAAATCAAAAAATAACAAATCGGTAGTAAAACAAAAAAAAAACATTTCCATGTTGAATAAAAAGCAATTCTAAGTGACAACACAAAACAAAAAGTAAAAACAGTAGTAAAACGAAGAACAATTTCATTCCATCCAAATTGCTTTTTATTTTACTGGTTGTTATTTTTAGTTTTTTTATAATTTAATGGAATTGTTTTTAGTACTGTTTTAATTTTTTGTTTTTTATAATCACTTAGAATTGCTTTTTATTTTAGTGCTGTTTGTTATTTTTTGTTTTATACTTAGTAAGAATCACTTTTAATTTTACTACTGTTGTTTGTTTGAGTTATTTGTTTTTGTGTTCCATTAATATAAATGTATATAAATTTTCCACTTTTCATATTTTTCCCTAAATACGGAGCCCAATCCGGCAACACCGCAGACAAGCCCCTCTCATATATGACATATTCACAGACATCAGCGTCATATGTTTGGGGGAAATAACTGCTAAAAAATACAGTGTTTTGGGAAAAACATTTCATGAAAAGCGTGCTTCATCCACACTTTTTATAATGTAAAACAACAGCACCAAAAATTTAATATCTTCAAAACCGTGTATGATGATTCATTTTTGGTCACGACTTGTGAATCACCCTGTATAAGGGAATTCCTGGATATGCGATATCACAGGATTTAGATTTTTCCGAATTTTGTTTTCGATCCTACAATTTGAAAAGTACACGATTTAGATTGTTTTTATATTTTTCGGGCGACTATCATGACTTGGCCTATTCCTGGTTCCCGGCTTGGCGTGGACTTCTCGGGCACTCTGTATAGGGTTTGACTCCAGGCATCTATCTGGCCGTATATTATAGAGAGGTTTCATTTTCATAATACATCGATACTGGAGCTTTATTTTATAATAATAGAGAGGGCATTTCTTAATGTTTTATCACCATTCGGAATTAGTAACGCTGGCTGACGAAGTCGTTACACGAACGGAATGACTAACGAAGGAATGTCCGAAGGTAGGATTCATAACAGTGAAGATATTTCAGAAATGTAATACGAGAGGCAAACGGAACCGGTCAACTGTAAATTCTCGTATAAAGTTAGTTTTATCGCCCATACCAATAGATTTACTGTGAAATATTTGAATTTCTCACAAAATTGTTTCTTACTCCTGAATAGTTCAAACACCAAACCAAAAAAAAGCTTCAACCAAAAGAACAACAAAATTAATGGTATAACTGCTTAAAAATAATACATTTCTTTAGTCGTAGATTGGTTTATCGTAGATTGGTTTATCGTAGATTCGTTTATCGCAGATTCGTTTATCGTACATTCGTTTATCGTACATTGGTTTATCT